ACAATTAATTTCTGATCAATTACTGAGCACAGTAACCACATTAAATAACCAGTTTGTCTGTCGTGTGTGTGTGTGTGGTGGGGGGAGGGGGGGTTAAGGAAGATCGTAGCGGCATCTAACTTCTAAATTTGTCATTATATCACTGTCTTAACTTTAACTTTAGGAAGATCATGACTTACTATATTCAATTTCACCAACTTGATCCTGAAAACAAATGAAATGTTCTTTATTAATTACTAGAACTTATATAAAGAATAATTTACTGGAAGTTACATCTACAACTTGCATTTTCTGGAAATATTATGCAGATAATAATTTCGAACAAAGGAAATTGGAAGAAACACAAGTATGCAAATAGGAAATCTTTATTTATGTAAGGAGTTCATGATAGAATTTGTTTGGAACTTTGCGCAAAGCTACAAGAGGGCTATATGCGCTAGCAGTCCCTAATTTAACAGTCATAAACTAGAAGGAAGGTAGCTAGTAAACACCACCCACCGCCAACTCTTGGGCTACTCTTTTACCAATGAATAGTGGGATTGACCGTCACATTATATCGCCACCACGGCTGAAAGAGCGACCATGTTTGATGATGGGGGTTCGAACCTGCGACCCTCAGGTTGCGAGTCGATCGCCTTAACCATCAGGCCAGTGCACGATAGAGTCGAGATCAAGAACAATCAAGCAGAAACAATACAAATACAAGAGCAAGACACCGAACTTTCAATTCAGACACATATATACCCTATTACAGTATCCTAAAATGCTTAGATTAGCTAGGTCAACGATCACCTTCACTTCTCATATCTAACAGAGGTAAAAACCTAACTTGTACTTACTTGTACAAGTATTTTTATCACCTCTCGAAATGAGTGTATTCTTACTCGAAAAAGCACAACACAGAAACAGGACCAAGCAAGTATAAGCCTTACAGAACGATTGTTGTAGTATGTAACCTTTGTTTAAATCAGAGAATTAGCTCAAGTATATGACTTTCTCATATCTGGCTTATAAGGATATGCCATTAATTACACCCAGAACACCTGCATGACAATTTAGAAATATTTATGAAAACATGCCTGGATAGAGAAATATGCTTACTAATTAGATAAGGGAAATATTATATTTCCAATTATTACACTTTTTGATGATTTTGTCATACAATCATACTTTTATAGAGCCAAGAATTAATAGGTTAAGCAAAGTGTGAACGTAAAAATTCAGCCATTTTATTGTTTATAATGATGAACTATCAATTCAATTTTACAGAAATTTCGCAAAATAGTTAGTCCTTGTTACCCTCAAATTCTACTTCGTGCCATTTTTTTTGCAATAACTTTAAGGTTAAGAATTTTGTGCCGGGTTAAAGATATGTAGTACTTGATATTAACCTATGGTTATAGGTGTCAACCTTGTCAGGCACGCTGCATTAGTAGTAAAAAGACGCTTCAGTGAACATTGTAAAAACTGTATATTCAACTAACTCGGCATATACGTCCACATACTCATACACACTTACAATGGTCAATTTCTTTTTATTTTGGAATCATCTCTTTAGTTTGTGATGAAAGAGTAAAGGATAAAGAAGCTATTCTCAGCAAGGATCCAAAAACCTTCTATCAATAAAAAGAAAAGAAAAATTAATTCTTCTCAAATTATAGGACTTTCACACTTTTGTTTGTTTGTCTTAGAATTTTGACACAAAGCTACCAAAACGGCTATCAGCGCACAGCAATATCTAATTTTGAACTGGTAGACTAGTTGTGTTTGACAAGTGAGTGCACATTACTTGTAATTTTATAATTTCTTTAATAAAAAATCAAGTTAGATTTCTTCGAAAAGCTTGTGAGTCATTTATAACTCTTAAAAATAAACTATTAAAGACTGAGGTTGAAGAAGCCATTCAGCCCATCGAGATCACTAACAAATACACAAAAACAACTGACAAAGGCATCAAAATAAACATAGTCTTCACACACTTATTCCATGCCTATCTATCAAACGACACGTTAACAATTACATAAGTTTATAACTCAGAGAAAAATAATTTTAATTTCACTTCATTTCGAATGAATAACAAGGAGCCATTTGGCAATCCAACATCTTTCTTAAATAAGATGAACAAAACTAACAACAATGTTCCAAGTGAGTTTGTCTGTTAAATACCATTCAGAGAGAACTGATGACCACCTTCGACTTGTGCTCAATATTTCGATGTATACAACCTAATATCTTGTGTGTTTTATTAAAAGCTAACGTATATTGTCTAGAAGAAAACTTTGTAATAGATTTTCCCAGCTTTTTTTTTCTCGCGAACTTCAGTTATAGACTACATGAATAAATTGCGATAACCAATATGCTTAACCTTTGTTTTTTTATCAAATTAAAAGACAAATGTCAGATGTTAGCCTAGTTCATTAAATAGTCCAAGTTTCTCTGAAAAACAGTTTGAATTTTCCATCAATTATCTTCTACAATTTTAACCAATTTACTGGTTATTTCATTATCAATGTCGTTCATGAAAATGAGAAATAGCAAAGACTTAATACGGAACCCTGGGGTACAGTACGAGTAACATTGATCATTGTGATTTCGTTTAATTTACAACAGTCTTCTGCTTTCTTTACCTAGCCAGTTCTAAAACCACTTCACTTACTTGTCTTCTAACCCCCCCCCCACCAAAAAAAAACACCTTTCTAACAGATCTCTTACAAAAAACCGCATCTAATGCCTAAGGCCGCCAAATATGCTAAAAAGTGGTATTTATATAAGCTTCTGAGGCTCAAAACTATGAGATACCAGTGGAGAATATTAAATTTTGGTTGAAGAAAAATATACCGTGCAACGAAATAGCAAATTTTATTGAAAGGGGAAGTAAA